GTTTAGTTGTTTTCTATTTTCTTAATTTTGGTTATTAAGTGCTTGAATGATTCCGAAATGTATTAAAGCCATATTTTTTTTCTTTTAAATCTTCACGAAGCCATATTTGTTTCTCATAGTATTGGTAATAACTCTTATGGCATGGATGGAAGTTTTATATTAGTTGAGTAATGCTTCATTTGTTATGAAGTGACACCATTGTCCCTAGTTTTAATTTTTCTATACTATACAAAAGGAATTCCGAAAATATGAATATATCTTCAATTCAAAACCCTATATTTGGACCTGATGCATCTTTTTTAACTCTCATTTACTTCGCAGGAGAAGCCAAAGATGGGGACAATGGAGAGTTTGAAATTTTTGGTGTCTTCACCATACATCCGTGATCTTGCCACTTTGGTGGTTGCATATGGTATCAGTATCAACGTTGTGGAGGTTACATGGAAATCGAAGCTCAAAGCTCAGGTATACTGTAACCCGATTGACGTGATATTTGCCTATTTTATTGTTTACTAATTGGCCTCTCTCTCTCTTGCTACTCTACTTGGGCAGTTTCCAAGCCCAAATGAGTACTCTTCTTTCATGGGCGACTTCTCAACTGCCACCGGAATAGCAACATTCACAATGATGTTGCTCAGCCAAGTTATATTCGAAAAGTATGGATGGGGAGTTGCTGCAAAGATCACACCTACAGTGCTACTTCTCACTGGAGTTGGTTTCTTCTCTTTGATATTGTTCGGTGGCCCACTTTCACCAGCTATTGCAAGCCTCGGGATGACTCCTCTTCTTGCAGCAGTATATGTGGGTGCTCTGCAAAACATTTTCAGCAAGAGTGCCAAGTACAGCTTGTTTGACCCATGCAAAGAAATGGCATACATTCCCTTGGATGAGGACACCAAGGTTTGGATTCTTACTCTTACTTGCGGTTTAGAATTTGGCTTCGCAAATAATGTCATATATTGCTGTTTTTAGTTATTGGTTTCACCTATCAGTTAAGACAGGCGAATTGAATTATGGATCTTATCTTTGTAGAGGGGAGGTTTCTGTCATTTGTTAACCACATTAATCCGGGAAAAGTTCGAGTTTTCTAATTTGAGTTTCCTTTTGAGGCCTTTTGTCTTTACATTCCTTGTTAAATTCTTGCTATAGGTTAAAGGAAAGGCGGCCATTGATGTTGTCTGCAACCCATTGGGGAAGTCTGGTGGTGCTCTGATTCAGCAGTTTATGATTTTAACCTTCGGATCACTCGCCAACTCGACACCTTACCTCGGAGGAGTACTACTGGTGATTGTTCTTGCATGGCTGGCAGCAGCCAGTTCCCTAGACAAACAGTTCACTGCACTGCGACAGGAGGAAGAGCTCGAGAAGGAGATGGAAAGAGCGGCAGTTAAGATCCCAGTTGTGGCTCAAGAGGGAGGAGGGAACGGTTCTCTTGCCAGCGACTCAGTGCTGAACCCAACAGCCGGAGACTCAACCGGTGGAACTAAACCTCCGCGCAACATGTAACGTGTCGTGTTTGATTTCCAAACTTAAAAGAATCGGTGGGGTTGATGGGATCTAGAAGCAATATTTGGTGAAGTTATTGGTTGGTAGGATCTTAGTTTGCTTTGAAAATAAGCAGCTTATGACTTCAAAGTCCAGTTTTCCATAGATACTGAAATTACATTATCTGTTTAGTTGAAGTTGCTTCTAAATATTTTGTAGAAATATTTGATTCGTCAATGAAATAAACTTCGTTGATTTCGAATCTTATGTGGTATCATTATTATTTTCTCAGATTATTATTTTTGTTTTCTTTCTGGGTTATTTAACGACAAACTGGATCCATTCAGTTTTATATTATTTTTTAAGTTGGACCGGAAATTTGAATACAGACCTGGTTTCTCTGCCCTCCCACTTCCCATACACTCATTTCTTTCTATTTGTGCGGTCACGGTTAAACCACATCAACATTGGTTTTTGTCTTATTATCTCTATAAAAAAATTAATATAAAATGTTGACGTGATTTAACCGTAACCGCACAAAATAAGAGGGGATGAGAGTGTATAGAAAGTGGGAGGGGCAGAGAAGCCGGGTCCTTTGAATACAAGCCATATTCTTGCTAAACTATATTAACACTTTGTTTGGATTAGGAAGTTTATGTTACTAATAATTTTAAAATGATGGAAATTGAAATGAAGGAGTTTTATTTTCAAGAATTTGTTAATTTTCTTGTTTGGTTAACCTAACAGAACAATGAAATTTGAATACGAAATTTGTTATTTTTAAACTCTTCCTCACATAAATTTGGAAATGACACTTATTTACAGCTTATGACTTTTCAAAGTCTAGTTATCCATGCCGAAATTCTAAATTTTTATGTTTATAAATCTAACAAGGGAATTTGTTCGTGTCAATTTATAAATTTTGATTTTTGTCAAAATTTCAAGTTTATTTCCCTCATCTTAATATAGTGTAAAGAAAAGGAAATCGTTTGAATCCAAGACGCAGGGAGTTGAAAACAAAAATCCTAATCATAAGGACAATTACAATCCACCACTACCCTGCGACGGAAGTTTTGAGTTAAATTTTTTATGAACTAGAATTGAATACACAGTGGGCTGACAATTTTTATTCCAATACGGTTCAACTTCGTTGAATTCGTATAAAATATGGCACACACTTGCCAGTGCCTTTCATAGTGGGATGAACAAGATGGAAAATGACGACATGGTCATGCTTTTTTAACAAACTCACTTGTCTCATTAATGGATGGATGATGAATTCTCTTCAAGATGCTTTGTTATCGATTCACGACTTTTTATGTGTATGATCGGAACTGTTCATATTTATTATATCACTCTCTTCATATTATCTCTTTAAAAAATTAATAAGAGATCGTTTACCAATCGAATGATATAAAAACAAATGGCTGGATAATTGCAACAGTTGATTTTAAATTAATTTTTTTTGCAGAGATGATTTTTACATAATAATTATAATATGAACTGTGTTGATCATAAAAACGAAGTTTCATATAAATCTATCACAAAGTATATCGAGAAAGAACTCCTTGACAATCTTAAGAAGCCAAACTTTTATCGTTTATTAATTGAACCGGCGGCCTAGTCGGGTTGCATATTTTATAGCCATTATCGAAACTTGTTTTGATAAAGGGGAATGGCGATGACTCCACCAAAAGAATGTTCCCTCTTGCGGGACATTTGGGTGGTCTTGGATCCATCCAAATTTGCCTTGGAATTTAAGTGAGAGTGTTGAGATTCCTATGATATTTTTCCTTCGTTAGCCTTCAATCAACGTTAATAAGGAAAGGTATCATGGGTTGATTAATACTTATTTTGTACCATTCAGCTATGTTTTAGGGATCCTTATAATTATATTTACTTGTAAAGAAATTTTGAGGAGACTCTCTTAAAAGTGAGACTCTTCATGAACTTTATGACACCTCATGTTTTTTAATAATGGTTTATTATGTTGGCACGAGAAATAACGTTAAAGTATGAGCTGGAATAGTCCATGGAGAGTCTCACTTTGAGAGTTTCCTTAGCATTTCCCATACTTTTTTTTAAGTTCAATGGAAAAAAAATTAGGCGAGATTAGCTCTTCAACGATAGTTGAGTGCGAGGCACCTACCCTCCACCGTAGGGGTGAGCACCATTATACCCAGAAATATAAAGGAAAGTAAAAGAAACAATACAATCAGGGGACTAAGCCAATACCTGCCATGACCAAATGATCAACAAAACCAATAATAAAGGCAAAATAAAATGTCATGAGCATGTGTTGAGGCAACAAAATCTGGAATTATAGACCACCAGTGATAAGCATAACTATCAGCTACAAATGAAACTTAAGAATCAGCAACATGATTTCCTTCTCGATAAATATATGTATATATGAACCGCATTTCCTTCTCATACGTGTATTCTAGTACTATCAAATGAGGACAATTGAAGGAAATTTCAGAATTTCCAAATCTAAATTTAAGAGAGAGCTAGACTATCTCCAATGGCGTTGGCAAATAAAGTAAGCAAAATTGTATTTTAATTATTTATCTTCGTCCATTTGTTTATCATTGGCAAAAAGTTAAAATGGTATAATTTAAGGGTTGTGCTACACACATCAAATTCATACACTAAATTTGTAGATTAAACGACGTGGCACATTTTAAATCATATAAATTTTATTACAAATATTAATCAAATTCCAACTTAAATTAAAATACAAATTTAATTGATATCACATCATTTGATTTGGTATGCTTGCCTAGCATTATTCATAATTTAATAATTTATTGAAGGACTGGATCAAAGAGTATTTTATTGTAAAAAGAGACGTAGGGTCCGATTTGTCTATTCATATTGAAGTAGACAATACTGCTTACTTTAAGAGAGCAAATTTTGCCTACTCAATTGCCTAACCATTATGTCAAAAAAACCAAAAAAAAAAAAAAAGCCTAACCATTATATCAAAAAAAATAAAAAATAAAATTGCCTAACCATTAATCTCAACCCAAGTAACGAGGAGGCCCACGCAACCAAAATGGCCACAAGCGAAAAGCGAAGAAACCTACTATAACGGTTACCCGCAGCCGCGGCCACTACCACCGCCACCACCACCATAGAGTTGGTGGAGACAACCAGCCATCGCAAGAAGCATAACACTTATCTCATTCTTTGTCTCACTTCGGTGGTATGGAGCCAAATCCTTCCGAAACAAGCCTTGGACAATTCTACTTCTTGCACTTGGTTCTATTTCGTCAACAGTGACAGTATGATTTGGGTTGTCCATGAAAATAAATCCATCCGGTTCCATTTAATTTTACCGATGTTTTAAGTTCGATTCTCGTCAAAAACGAATTTATACCAAATTATTATGACCAACCCATTATGAGACTTAACTCACTCCCTTAACCCTGACCCCTTTTGGTGGGTTAGATGAGATAGGTTATGATCAATTAAAATGAAATTGAGGGATTGTTCTGCCGTGACACCCGATGTGATGTTATGACTTAACAATAAATCAATTAAACCGAATGCTACAAAACATAACCTTTCCTCGAAACTATTTAACTCTCAACTGTTGAATTTACAAGTAGAAAACAAACAAACAAACTCACTCTCAATATGCATTTTTACAGAACCCGGCGCTCAACAAATTGTCAGCTAACCGGAGCACTCACTTGTGTTCATCTTCTGTATCCTGCAGAACAGCACCTCTTACTTTTGCCCTGTTAAGAATAAATTTGTTATTCATGTGAAGCGAACCGGAGCACTCACTTGATTGTTCTCGTATATATGGTAAATATGTAACAGTGAATTTAGAAAGAAAGGATTGATGTGCGTTCAAGAGACAAACTTACCTACGATATGCAGGCACAACCCGATTGGCAGTTGCTGAGTTGGTATCACGACCCGCTCGTTTCTCTGCCACAATAACATAGAGATGTTCAGTTGATACACGATGATAATACAAAATTGCGTGAGATGAATCCCAATAACTGTAAGCAGGGAATAGAGGAAAAAGAACAAAGACAACAAAATGAATATGATTACTCAACAAGAATATATGCTCAAAAGTAAAAATTTGAGACTCGGATGAGCTCTGTCGATTACTGAATAATATTGGCTAACATAGTTAAGAAATGTACTAAATCCCACATAGTTACCATGCACTCTGAATGATGTCGCACACAGACGCAGCTTAACTTTTAAACTTACTCATCTTTTTCATTTCTTCTTGCATATTTCACTCTAAGACTGAACATAATAAAACCTGAACTCATGGCTACTTCGAAAGCAATCAACAATGCAAACAAGCACAGAAGAAGATATTTAGAAGTTGACCTACATATTTATCAAGAACCAGCAACATGATCAACAATTTAATTTTTCTTTTCTATTGTCTTACTAATATGAAAATGCACACGCACATATTGCATTGTTTGGGAAACTCGGAACTTCTCACTTTACCAAAACAGCAAATGCTTTAGGCAGAAACAATTAATTCACACCTGGAGAATTATTTACACCATTACTGAATAGTCCAGAAGCATCTGCTCTATCTGAGGAATTAATCCTTTGTAACTTTTGCCTTCTTGTATACTGTTCCAGTTGGCTCTGAATACTAGCATTTTTTTCCTAAAAGATATAAGAAACAAATTTAGGTACATAATGGACTGGTGATAACTAAAAGATAAATTAGTGGACAGAGAATAAAAAATCTGGATAAAGTGCACATTAACAATGAATAAAAATGATGTACGGTACATAAACGTAATCCTGAAACCATAGAGTAACCACAAACTCCAACTGGTAAAACGAACTATTCATTATTGGCTGGTTTGCTACAGTGTCACTCAGTATTTCACCTATGAAACTGTATAGTCAGGAAGAGGAGCAACTCTATGGAGAGAACCATGCCGAAAGTATACAAGAACAATCAATATTTGAGAGCTTTATTGTCATGCTCCCATTAAGATAAAATCGTGGCTCCGGCACTGGGAACATGCCAAATATTCTTCCGTGTAGGAATATGTAGACACATAATTCAGTATAGTATTGACATTTTTCCGTGTCCCAGAATGTGTGAAGACACAGAATAAATGCTTTAAATAATAATAGAGTGCAGCAGGGAGGTATACCTTTTCCGCTGATATCAATGTTGACAATTCAACAGAGCACTGTTGTTCTGAAGCACAATGAGAAAGAAGTACAATCAATTCCAGCACAAGAAGAAGAGAAATAACAAGTAGACAAATCAAGCAGAGATGCACAAACAAGGGATTTAAGATACACAATAATGTCCGAAAAAATAAACGTGATGCAATAAGTATAGAAGGTGTAATAGCCAATTCAGAAAAACACAACGTAGGCAAAAGAATGACAATGCAGCCTTCTGCTGCAGGATATTGAGAGGACAACCTTCCACGTAAGACTCATGGAGGTTTTTAAATTCTCCAAAAAGCTGAAGAGATAGATTTGCAATAGCCTCACTAGCAGCAGTATCCACAAGTTTTGTGAGAGAAATGGAAATTCGAGGCATTCCTTTTGATTTTTGAGCAATTAATTTTGCATGTGCACAACCTGAAATACACATAACAGAGTCTACGTAAGCATTTAGCATATTTCCCTTATCAAAGTTTATACATCTACATGCTGTTGCAGATATAAGATTGTGTATGTTGTTAACATACACAGCTTTTATTCTTAAGAAAAAAACAGCTCAAAAATTTACTCGTCCATCCAAAACATTAAAATAAAAAACTTTTCAAAGTGTCAAGAATTTTTTATAGCTTGTTCAAGTTAGCATCATTTTTTTAAGGCCGGACGGTTCAGTCAGCATATATAATTAGAGCGGTGCTAGAAGTGATTAATTTGACGATGATGGATTATCAACTATTCGAAGGATTTAGTTTTGGGGTGGTTGGTATGGTGGGGTGGTGGGGGTGATGGTGGGCTACAATTCTGTGAGTCAGTGGTATGCCTTTCCCTTTTTATTTGAATTTTTAATTTATTTACAACAACAACAACAACAACAACAATTAAATGAATTTTTAATTTATTTAATTGTCGAAATTTTTTTATGAAGTTCAGTGGCAACTTCCTAATTACATAGAAAAGGCAGTCTTCAAAACAAGCAAACAAAAGGAAACTACGAAGTTGGACACGTGACTTAACCAAAAGCTTTGGACTGATGGAGCGCCTGAGCTAGAATCTGTTGCTAGCACAACTCAAATGATTATACAATTCAAGTGTAAAAAATAAAATTTGTACAGCTAACAAACCGAGTACGACTACATGGACCACATTTACTGAACAAATCTTTCATGGAGATGGGACTCACCTCATCTTTGTGAGAGATGCAGTCAACATTAAATGTACAAATGAGAAAGGGGGGTGGGGGAAGACGGGAGGCATTTTCTGGTCGCCCCTTGCGTGCTTGGTGAGGTAATGTGGCTACTCTAAACATTCCATCAGTTATATCAACGTTCCAACAAAAATACTTTTAATCAATTGAACATTTTTGAATAATGGAAGGGGAAAGGGATACATGTATGGTCGTCATATTGAGCTTAATACCAATAAAGAAGAGCTTTTGGTAGAGACTCCAAAACATTACAAGAATAATTATCATTCAAAGAGCTACGTAATTCCACTAGGGTTAATACAAGTAAAACATGCGAGTTGAAGATAGTTACTGCTAAGTTGTGAATAATTATGCATACACGTGTGTTAAGTCGTCTTAAATTAGACTTTGAACACTCAATAATCAAATTTCTGACTTTTCCGCATCTGAAGAGACTTGAAGGGAATATCAAGTATTTCTAAGTCAAAATATGAAATTAGGGGTTTTCCCTTTTTTCACATTGAGGATGACGAATTCCCCTCAAGCTAAATGGAAGTCTGAATTCCACTCTCAAGCTTCCTCATTTTCAAGCAAAACCAGGTAAAAAAAGTATTTGTTCAGGACTTCTCTCAAATACATTGAAGTTGAAGAATAAACCGTTATCATGTCTATAAGAGTTACGACTACTCAAGCAGAGTCAGGACCAAGAAATGTCATAAACCAATTAGAGATTTGAGTAAAATCCCGGCCCCGGTAAAACAACAGCATGCTCCTAAAGCCTCACCATTCTTTGCTATTAAATTAGTAACATATAAAATACGGAATAACACATAAAATCCGGCACCGCATATAAAGGCAGAAAAACTCATAATTCACTCTAGTAATTTGATGATTCCAAATGATTGGAAAAACGAAACAAAAATGACACCGGCCTCCAGTACTAGTACTAGTATTGCAGGAATGGAATGGTGAATGATTCATTTCATGATTAAAAAAGAAAAGGGTATATAGTATGTACCATCATCGAAAGCAAGCTTTACGTCTTGAGACTTTAGGGAAGCAACAAGATAGTCTATGAACTCTGACCAAGACCCTCCTATGCCAATGCTGTCCCTCTGCAACTCACCAATTACAATTTACATACATACATACATGAACGCATTTAAACAAAATCAATAAATAAATTAGAAACTTTTGGGAGAAGAAATACCAGGTCGTCGAGCTGGGAGACGGACCGCACGGCCTCCCAGTGATTGGAGTGGAAATCGGTGACATGGATTCTGAGGTGCGCAGGACCAGCGGTGGAGCCATGGACGTGGAACAGGAACTGCCGCGGCGGAGTCAAAGCATTAGCTGGCCCCTCCACCCTGGGCTGCCCGAATATGGGCTTCAAATCTACTTCTAACCCCTCCATTTTTTGGCTTCAAATCCTGCATCCCATGCTCATCTCTACCAATTTTCTCCGGCGCCAAATTGCGTTAGTGGCTTCGAAGATCTGACCTCGTCGGGTCGATTGGCAACTGTAGCTTCGAATATGGAGTTGTCGATCTCAATCTGCAGATGTTAATCCGCTGTTACAATTGTTGGGGGAGGGGATGGACGGCGAGGGAAATTGTTTGCCGGTTGGCTTGGGAATCGTTGTGTGGCATGAATGAGGGACGCTAGGGTAGTTTGGGAGAGGAAGAAGAATGAACGACGGCGTTTTGATTTCTTTAGTCTCATTCATAACATATGAGCGCGTTTGTTTGGCTTCGTTAAGTTTCACTAGACTGGAACGGGTTACTAGTTCGTTTTGGTGTGAGAAAGGGACTGACTTTAATGGGATTAAGTTGAACTCCAGTTGACTAAATCATTTGCTACGCGACCTTAGCGAGACCCCCTTCCCCCAAAAGGGGAGGATTGTTAATCTCGTCTCCAACACCTGCTTCACTTCGCCTCAGACCTGTTGTCTGCTTCAGTTGGGGTCAACGGCAATTCCTCTTTTTCTTGAGCATTTTTTCTAAAGTTATTTGAGCTTGTCTTAGTTTTTCTGAGCGGTTGTCTCAAATTTGGATGGTATGTTCGTCTTGTATTTTCTTCTAGTTTATGTTTTTCCTCTCTCTCTTTCTTGATCTATAGATTTTCATCTTCCTCCACCACTTTCTTTCATCCTTGCCACACCCACCTCATCTCCTTAGCACTTGTTTTGCTTCTTACCTCAGATCTCAAGCCCTAGATTTATCAATTTTTAGGGGGTGTAGTCAAATTAGGATTTGGTAGGATTTTAATATACTTTAAAATCTGGGTATAATCGATTAGAGTTTTAAAAGAGGATTTTAAAAGATTCTGAAATCATGGCGTAGTCAAATTAGGATTTAAGAGGATTTAAAAGAATACATTTAAATCCAAGGTAGTCGATTTAAGAGTTTAAAAATACATTCAAATCTAGGTATAGTGAGAATGTTCAAGATTTATTAGGATTTTAATGGCCAATGGATTTTGAGGGATTTGAAGGTGGGTGGTATAAATACAAAGTGCCATCAAGAATCTCATCCTTCCCACCCCATGTGATTTCTTTTCACGTTCATCACAGAAGTGGAAGAGTTTTGTCTCTCATATTCCTCTATCGCCACAAGGTATTGCAGCTTTCTTCCCAATTTGTATAATTCTTGTATGGTTAATCTGTTTAAATGCTGGAAAAACCATATATGTATGTAATGTGTTTGTACCATACTTGACCAATCACAAAACTATCGAGCACCGGTCAACGTTATATTGTCAAGGACCCAGAAGAGTTTTCCTCCAACCAGGAGACCAATCACAACGCGACACGTGTTGACATCATAAGCCAATCACAGTGTGACACGTGTCAACATCAGAGGTCAATCACAACACGACACGTGTCAATGTCAGAACAAAACTAGAAATTCTCTTCTATAAAAGGAGATCATTCTGCCACGATAATCCCTAATGCAATTTGTACTAAATCATTCACTAGAACTCACTAAAGGAGAGCTTGAACCTATGTACTTGTATAAACCCTTCACAATTAATGAGAACTCCTCAACTCCGTGGACGTAGCCAATCTGAGTGAACCACGTACATCTTGTGTTTGCTTCCTTGTTTCTGTCCATTTACATACATATACATACTAGTGACCGGAGCAATCTAGCGAATGTCACAAACTTAACACTTTCTGTTGTACCAAAGTCTTCACTGATTTTGTTGCATCCACATAATGAAAAGAGAAAACCTACATGCAATGGATTAAAAAGGGAAAGGGAAGAAATCCTCCCTTTCTTTCCTTTCGGTGCAAACCTTTCAGAAATCTGTATCAGATATTATGCATCCGGGAGTGTGCTGGCAGGTTGAATTTTTAGTGTACATAAATTTTCAATTTTTTTTCTTTCAATTTTTCAGATTAAACTGTAGAATTTACCCTTTAGGATCGAAATACCAATCGAAACAAAAAGACCCAACTCATAATTTTTGGTTAGGACAAGGAAAATTTGAAAATCAGCGTGGGAGGATCAAAGTTTGGTGCTTTCTGGGAAAAAATTGGGTTTTTTGTGGTGTTTGTTTGATGGATTTATTGGTTGATTCAAAAGGGGAAGGGGACGGCGGAGGAAGTGGAAGAAATGACGGTTCATGGGGTTTTTTATGGTGCATGTTCATGTGAAGTCAGGGGGTCATCAATTGGCCAAGGAGTTGACTATTCCCCATCTTGTTGCAATTGGTAAAAGCTTGCTGCTTTCCCCCTTTTATTTTTTTCAATCATATATTTTGATATCTATTTAGTAATTTTAGATGAGACGATGATGATGTTGATCGAATGTGTGTGTTTGGATTAATTGTGGTGATGATGATGATGCTGATGGAATGTGTGTGTATAGATATCTATTTAGTAATTTTAGATGATGATTATGAATTTATCATGATGCTGTTTAGTAATCATAGATGGTGTGTGTGTGTGTAGATTAATTGTGGTGTGTGTATATAGATTAGATGATGGTTTCGATGTAAAAAATTCATGGTTAGTGGCATTTGGGTATGTTGTTAACTTCTTTATGATTTTGTTTATTTGATTGGGTAGTTTATATAATGTCTCGATCAAGTATGGAAGTGGAAGGTGGGGAAGAAATGGAAGTGGAGCAAATGGTGGAAGAACAAATTGAAGAAGAAGAAGAAACCGATGAAGAAGAAATTGAGGAAGAAGAACTTTATGAAACCATTAAATATTTATTGATGGCAATTCAAGTTGTAGTTAGGGATGAACAACGGTTATGGCAGGTAGGTAACCGCAATTTTTTACCCATGACCGTTTAAGCTTTTATCCGCATAACCGTTTACCCGTTGAATATTTACATAAACGGGTATACCCATACCCATAACCGTTTATAAATGATTAACCATACCTATAACCTCATACCTATTTAACCATAACCGCGTACCCGTTTATCCATTTTTAACCCGTCTACCTATTTTTTTAACAACTTGAAAATTAAAAAGAAATTTGTCATAATTTTATTTTTCTAACAATTAAATACCGTTATAAATACATGTAACATGAATTTTTGTATTAACGGCAATATTATTTATGAATGTCTCCCAATTATTGACGGTCAATCTATTACAAGAATCATGAATGGTTGGAGGTTAATTAATATTCTTGTTGAAGGAAAAATTTTGTCCTAGCTAAGAACAAGTATGAACATTTGAATACATATGCAAGCTATAAACACTTTAAAGTAGGCATGCACCCAAAAACAATTCATAAAACCCATGACTTTCAAGCCTAGTATATGGTGAACCAATGAACTCTTTAACAACATTAAAGAGAAGTAAAGATTTAGAGTTTCTTTACCCTTGAAGCTCATCCTTGTTTACACAAGGGATTCACCCAAGTGGAGGGCCTTCAAGTCACCTCCAAGCTCCTTGAATATTCCTTGTGATTTTCCTCCTTTTAGTGCTCCTTTGATTCTTTGAGGATTTGAAGATTTGTTCTCCAAAACCAAAGTTTGATGTCTCTAAGTCTCTTCACCAAGGATGTATCTTGTGAAGATGATATGGATGACTTAGGGAAGAAGAGATTGCTAGATGTTCCTCCCCTTAGTGGCCGGCCTCTTGGAAGAAAAAGAGAGAAAATGTTTCACCCAATTTCATCAAGAAAACCCTTAAATGAAAATAAAGCTATAAAGTTGAATTTATACTTCATTACAAGTGAGTGGCAAACTTGTAATTAATCCAAGTTTGCCATATTCACCCTAATGGCCGGCCCTCATTTGTTATTAGGCTAATTTGCCCATTTTGTTTTAGTTGTCATACAACTTAAACATAATGGGCCTTGTGGACCAAAACGCTTTTGGGCCCCGAAACCCAAAACCAACATATAAGCCCAATACGAACATTTCGTATAATTAATTAACTATTTAATTAATCTTGACCATTCTTCAATTAAACCATTTAATTGTTTATCCATTTCATTTGATTTCTTCACATACATCCTTACTCGGTGTACGATCCATTAGGTTCCAATTAACGAGGCAGTGGGCGATTGTTACTCTTAACGATCGATTGTGAATTGAAACCACATTTCAATTCTCCCTTTATTGATTAGTGTTTGCTAACCATTAAGGCTTCCACAAACCATGAGTGACGCCTAGCAGCATATCATGGTTACCCAAGCTAAGTAGAATTGGTTGGAGAACCTATCCAGTTACAACTACAATGCAATACGGTACTTCTCTAATACAATATTCTTAATCACATTGTTTAAGTGATAATTTGTTTCATGTCCACTATCCAATGTGATACTTTCCTATATGATTCCCTTGAATATGATTTGAAACAAACTTCCTAAGTCATATTCATTTGTTTTGGCCAAAGACTTTAGAATCATATCTTAGAGTATTCTCCTTCCACCATGGAAGGTTAGAGATCCCTTGTTGTGCATTCATATGCCTACATGACTAGATAGCTTGACCCCAACAATGCCGTGGACACTCCGAGGGAATGCCGTTGACATGATTAAAGATCAAGAACCTAACCATTAGACATCTATGATGCCTCAGGTCAAAGGACTACTTTGCATATTGCAACTTTAGAGTTCATACATGACATGTATGTTCGAACTCTCTTTTGATCGTAGTTCAGTGTACTCGATTACTCTTTCGAGCACCTATGTGTTTGTCTTAGTATCCAACACCAAATGACTTGAGACTAGTCATACTCACGCTTGAGTCAACATAACACATACTAACCTTAGCGGATTGTCAATGCCCAATTGGCAATCCTATGACTAGGAACGTTTTAGGAATGAACATAAGAGAATGGTCTCGATAATCTAACTCACTTAGATCACTTGTCTCTTAGATCAAATACATCCCTTGGATTCCCTTATTGCTTAAACACATGATACAATAAATAGTGATTAACAATAAGCTTTGCCCTCTATTAAACATATAAAAGTTTAATACATTAAGTATTCCAAAAAGCTATTACATCAAATGAGTGGCTTTGTGGGCATACTTCCAACAATCTCCCACTTGCACTCAAAGCCATCCTCCCATGTATCTAATACCCATCTTTTCCATATGACGGTCAAGCTGGATTTGAGACATTGGCTTTGTCAGTGGATCTGCTACGTTATCGGCTGAAGCAACTTTGAGGATGTTGATTTTCCCCTCGGCAGCATATCTTCTAATGATATTAAAGCGTCTGTCAAAATGCTTGTTCTTTTGATGTGCCCTGGGTTCCTTGGCTTGAGCTATCGCCCCACTATTATCATAGTACAAAGTTACTGGTGATGTAATGGTTGGAACCACTCCAAGTTCAGTGATGAACTTCTTCATCCAGAACGCTTCTTTGCCGGCTTCAGCTGCAGCGACATATTCAGCCTCTGTTGTGGAATCAGCAATTACACTTTGTTTCTTGCTCTTCCAACTAACAGCCCCACCATTCAGAGTGAATACATATCCGGAGTTGGAACTTTTATCATCGACGTCAGATTGGAAATCTGTGTCTGTATAGGCTTCCACTCGCAACTCTGCCGCTCCTCCATATACGAGGAACATGTCCTTAGT